TTTGCATTTGCATTTGCATTTGCATTGCATTACATTGCAGTACATTGCATACGCACACACACACACACACACATATATATATATATACCTACAAACAAACAAACAAACATACATACATACATACATACATATATACATACATACATACATGCAAAACAAATATATATATATATAGAGAGAGAGAGAGAGAGCGAGAGAGAGCGAGAGAGAGAGAGAGAGAGAGACAGAGAGAGAGAGAGAGACAAAGAGAGAGCACCGGAGAGATAGGACGAGCGAGAGGCCCAGCATTGTTTGACGTCAGCATCACTAGAACACGTGCGCAACCGTCACTATGGTTGTGGATGCTCTGCACGACGGCTGTGAGGTTTGGAAGTTTGGGCATGCAAGTAAGCGAACTGGTTGGCGGCAGCCTCTGACCCATGGCATTTTGGACGGCATGCCCCCACTCCCATATAGCAGCAATCGCGGTCACTTCAGATGCACTGATGTTGTCCAGTCTACATCTGAACCTTCAATTCAACTGCGTTGCAAAACATTGCAGCATCCATATTCATGGACGTCGATGAGGAAGAGTATCCTCTATAGGATAGGCATCATGTTCTTGTTTGAGCCAAACGTTAGGCTGAATATTGAACATCCTCTGCCGTTCCGGACGTTCTACTAACTTAACACTTAGTCAAACAACAATCCCCGTGCGACCACATGAAAGACTCTGAATGACTTCACCGTCGCCTCGAGGGATGCAGCAGAACTCGCCATGTATTTCCGAATCTTCCTCTGTCGCACAAACTCTACAAATCCTTTCGGGCGTGGTCCAGGGCATTGTTTTCCACTCTGCATAGTTTCGCACAACCTCGTGAATCTGCTGGTCTCCGAGTCAGGAACTATCCTCGGCCTTTTGCGCCTTAAAGCGGTTTTGGCTTCTGGCTCTTCGCCTTGGAGCTCTTGAGATTGCGAATGCCAGACATTTCCAGTACCTTCGCGCTCGATTAGCGAGCTTCCGCTGTTCTCCACCTCGGTCAGCATAAGACCACTTACTCCCAGCAATGCGTCTGCCCTTGTTTCTGTGCTGCATGTCAACCCAACCCCCGGGTGCACGGCGGCGAGGTTTCCTGCAAAGGAAATTTTGCAACTTTACACTCCCAGTGTCTCTGCTCACGCTCTCACGCTATGGAGCAGGTAGCAGGCACGTGACCAGATAGACATGAACAGTGCGGAAAATTACCACTTGCAGTCGACCATCGAATGTTGACACATCATCTGGGCTTGGCAGGGTGAAGTACGCGTATGTGGTCGACATTCCACGGATCGAAGTATACAGAAGGCTGACTCATCGTGTTGACTGACAGAACTCCGGAACGCGCTGGGCGCACCTGGACGCGCCTGGTTCACCCATCCTGCCGTCTCTTCATCGTCCTCCTCCCAAGCCAAGATGCAAACTACTCGTCAAGAAATGTGGAAGCTCATGCAAATGGCCTCAGCGACACCTTGCAAGTTTTTTCCAAGCTGCACCTCAGATAGTCTCTCGCGCTCGTTTGAACATTGGTCTCTTGCATGACACGACATGCCACTGTCACGGCCTCGGGTAACTGATACATTCTGCCAGTGCATTGCCTCACTGGGTTCTCTTTTAAACTGGCATGCGGCATCTCGCATTGAGAAAGCACGCGGGGTCGTTCATTTTGCATGTAAACCGCCCCGAAGAGTGACGATTCAGGACTGGTTACCTGCTCATTCCGAATGCAGCCATCAGATGTAGACAGGACTTCCGTAGCCATGTGGGAGGGAATATGGGGAATACTTGCGATTCCGACCGAGTCCCAGAAACGCTTCGCGAAAGGCTGGCTCAACGTACTCCGAGCGGGTGATTCTTGGAGATGATTCAAAAACACGGCTGCGTCCGGCCTGTCTTGTGAAACAAGGTACCGTGCTGGAAGCATCATGCTCATTGGTGCCCTCCCGGTGATAATGCCTTTAAGCCAAGCTGCGGGCAGCACGCCGCGTGCCGCTTCCGTGGCATCCGTCCGAACCACCTGGGTGTTGGGTGAAGGACTAAAAAAACAAAAATGCATCAAAAACAAGAAATCACCCAAGAATGAGACAACAAATAAATAAACTCCTCTCTTTGGCTGGGCTGGGCTGGGCTGGGC